CCATTTCCAAAAATTTGAACAAAACAGGAAACCAGTCTACGCGTGGGAACCTTGGAACAAAGGCACTGACTGAAAAGAATAGTAATCGTGTCGTTTTTTCCCCTCTTCGTTCGCCCCACCCAGCCCCTCGCCTTCTTCACCTCGTTGACGCTAAATTATTACCTAGAGCCCCGCACCGACGCGGTTTGCTACTCCGCGAAACGGTTTCGATGAAAGATCAAAATCGTTGAACTTGAGGGGATTCTCGGAAGAAGTCAACAATGTACTTGATTCCGTAACATTAAGCGCGTTAATTGACCGATCGTCTGAACTACGATTTACATTTTGATTCGTCGGAACGGGAAACCTCGCGGAGGGCAAGTGTTTTGCTCGGTTTAATATCAAGAGTCTTTGAAGACATTTACGGTGAACGTGAAAGTAATTTCAACAGTTTGTCGGATTGGCAATTATTCAGTTTTAATACTTGAGCAAACGAGCGTTTAATACGGTTCATACGTAGTCCTTATAAAAATTGTAAGAATAGATTTGTTTTCGATTTTGTCGTATACTGATTATAGTATTAAAGTGAAACTGTTCATTTTTCAAATCATTTGGGATATTTAAGCTTTTGATATATCAATAATTGCGATATAAAAACACTGAAACGCGTTATTTTGACGAGTGCGGTAGTTCTAGCGTTAAAGTTCCTTCTTTTGTTTCTAAATAATTGTAAACCATTAATTAATGATTTAATACAATATTTATACAATATTGACTCTTTTAGTTACTAACTTTTTATATATTGATTATATTTCAATCCAGGTTTGATCAATAAAAACGATAATTAATACGTTGACCGAGAATTTTTAACGTTTTATATATCACTCAATCCTTCATCATAAAAACAAGTGATGTTAAAATTAGTTATTAACGGTTTAGCATCATAATTCTTAAGATGTACGATTATTTCATTACTTATGCTACTAAATATTATGATTCGACATCATTTTTCTTATAACTGTTTTTAAGCAATTTGAAGGCTCCAATGTTAATTAATTCTTCCGCCTGAAATATTTCAGTTAAATTACGGTAAAATGAAACCGAAGAATCAAAACGTTCCGTTCTATCGGAGTAGCAACAAAACGTATTACGCTATGCATCGTGTGCGGCTCGCTCGTTAATGGTCACGTGCATTTTTTTCACTAGACTGCGTATCCTTTTATTAAGCAGCGAAACACGTGTGAAGTTTTTCTGCCGGTCGACCATTTGATGTCTGAATTAGTGAAGTACGAGCGCATCGGGTTAGAAAAAAACAGTCGAAGACTCGAACTTGAAACGAATTAGAAACAAAAAAGAGTGCGCTTTGTAGATATGCGCCGCATGCAATATGTATAAGGTACCAATACGTGACGCGTGACGTTTGTGACTCATGCCTTCATTTTTCAAATATCATCTCT